ACAAAAAAAAAACGAAAAAAAAATAAGAAAGAAAGAAATTGGGGCAGACGCCTCAATTTTAATTTTGATGTCGTATATCGAAGGCCTAAGGAGGCTGGCCATAGCACCGACTTTCGCAAACACGTGTATAATAACTTGTTAGGTGGTAAATTTTAAACATTCTTTCTGTTTTATAATTTTTATACGGTGTTAGGAGAAGCCTTCCTTGTAAGTGACAAGTCGTCGCTTGTCTTACGTAAAATATAAGAGACTTTTAAAGGCGTGTATTTCTATCTAAGAAAAAACAAAACATCTCTGATATTAAAGTGTCTACTTAGGTATGCTAAGTTTGGCTTATATAGAACTATATAGAGATTTTTCCTTTGAAAGATGTAACCGTTCTGTAAGAAATTTAACATTTAAGTATATATTAGACACACTGATACACAGCTTTACATATATATTGTATAACGAATTTAAGAGAGCGCGATCGAGACACGTTGAGAGGGACGATAGTATGAATCCAGTCTTATTATAGTTACGTTATACGTCAATCATCATGTTCTATGACTCGCTACATTAGTTAACTATTGTATTTGTTACATGTAAAATGAACAATACCTACAGTCAAATGAAACAAAATTCAAACCCTCTCCATATGAAAAAGAAGAACGTTATAAAGCTGTTCGAAGCTTAGGTATATGTGTAAATAACATGATATTTACAGTAATAAATTGTGACCACTTGAGTCACTTTGGACTTGACTACTTAACCAGTCGACTTACGAAGAAAGATAGAAAAGGTTTTTATTTGTGTAGTATGTAAAGAATGTGAGTACAAAAGAGAGGAAGCATTAAAGAAATGTGTACCATCTTACATCGAAGCCTTTCGTTTTGAGGCGTGATGAAAATTGGGCGTCACTCAGAGAGCTATGGAAAAAAAGAGAAATATGAGGTGCTGTACCCAATAAAGTTATGAGTCAAATTTCATTGTGCGGTATATTATTATCATTGAAATATAACACAGCACCATATATTGGCGCGTATAGAAACACGTGTATTACTCTTTTTCGCGTGAACGATTCAAACTCGGCAGCAGTAACGCGCGTCTTGTTTCTTTTTCAAATTTGGTGCCGTTCCAAGCTAGTGCGGTGGCGGCCATTTTGCTAAATTCAGATTCGGATTACAGTATTTCTCGCTGTAAGTTCCGTCTGTTCCCGGCGCGATAGACTCATTATTATTTTTCCTCTTAACATCAGGATCGATTCGAGAGTAGAAGAATTAGCTAGATTTAACGACCAGATCGGCTGCTACTCGACGAAATCTTCCGAGGAAACATATATACCTTCGTCTCTTCGAGAGTAGCTAAGAAACATTTAGCCGCACGAGAGCGCTGCAGAGGCTCTGTGTACCGAGGAGAAAGAAAAGGAAAGTCGAGAAGAGAGAGTGATAGAACTAGTCAAGAAGAGACACTGAACCGTGGGAAAAGCGCGACGGGAGCGCGGCTGAACGAACAACCAGGAGAAAGAGAGAGAGAGAGAAAGAGAGAGATAATGAACAAGCGGCGCATGCCGTAGCCACGGCCCCCAACTTGCTCTAAACTCGTGCAGCCTGTCGCGCTGTCGGTCGAATTTTAATGGCGGCTCGTTCCGATTCTTTCTGTTTAGTAGTGTTATTATAAAGCGGCGGACGGTATTTCTACAGCCTTATATGTTACCGAACCGAACGATATGGGGTTCCAGTGAATCTCAGTGTTTAGTGTTTGTTTCATCAAGTTCGGGGACTTGTATCGAGCCTTGTATCAAGGACATGGTGCATATCCGCGATGTGTCGTAGCGACCCTTGCGTACGAACATTCCATCGTGCAGTCGTGTTCTACGCTTTGGCTTTTTCGTGAAAACCAGAAATACTGATTGCAAACAACGAATTCGAGGGTGTCCAGTCTCTTGCGTATTGTTTCATATACGTAGCGTACGTGTATTCGTCCTGAAAAGCGACGAAAGCTGCACGGGCCGACCGATGATCATATCAGAACAAACGAGTCGAAGCTGCGAGCTTTTTTCATCTCGGAGGTAATTCTTTTTCTTTACGGGCTATCCTCCGCGTTGGATATTTCACCCTAATACGATCAAATCGAACACGCTGACGCGTATTTTATCATCTGATTCCGACTAATTCGCTCGTATGCGCGTTATTGCTAGCCGATTATCGATAGAGAGCAGAACATCCTTGCCTTTGTGCGAAGACACTGGTCTTAGCTGTCAAGTGCAGCTATGCTGCTCACACTAATGAAGGGCGGTGTGTGGAACCTGCCTGGTGTTACTCGAAAAGTGTGGAGCCATCTGTCCTACCTTGACATCGTCGTCGGGATGTTTTAATACCGAAATTGGTCAGTGAACACATTATTTACGTTTTTCCTAGCTTCCCTTTGGATTTATTCCAGTGTGCTCATGCCTTCACCACGCATGTACAGATATCTTCTTTTTAGAAAATAACACGAATCCCTTGGTACACGGGCATCCGAAATACTCTAATCGGTATATCGGTATTCCCGTTTTTTTAATGAAACCTCAGTGTTCCATAATAAGAAGGATTTCTATCATGAGTTTTTAGTTTTGCTGGAGTAGAATATTTTATTTCTTTTCTAAATTTTATCCAGCAGTCTTGTTGTTTTCCAGTTTTCACTTTAATTTAGAATATCATTTTTTATTATTCGTGGATAATCTACAGTACAATTGATTCAGTGGACTATAATTTATGTTAATAGTATATCCTTGCCATCAATATTGGTTTCCATAGCTAAAAGATATTGCTAACACAATTAACTAATCATTTTGACATGGATCATCTGTTTTAATGAACATTTGTGAATAAGAAGTTCATACATAGCAAACAATGATGATGTTACAAAGATTAACATTTTTGTAAACATTGAGCTTAATTTAAGTAAATTGAATTAAAATTCTCTCTTTTCATGTTTGAAGTGTTTTACTTTTATCGTTTGTTTATTTTTGTTTGTCTTCTTGAATATGATTTCTTCATTTATCGAATGTTGTTGTCTTTGGAATGTTTCAGAGCTACCAGGCAATGAGCATCATGACAGTGCCTGGATACATGTATACTTGGTAGTTTTGCATTATTACTGGCCATCTACCAGTACGATTCACACCCTTATTATACCTTCTACGCTTCCTACCCTAGACTTGTACACGCACAAACGCACACGCTTAGCGTGTGCGCATGTGCTTTGTAAAATACTGTTCACACAACATGAGATTCTTGGGATTTGTATCATTTTCGACTTCGCCTATGGTACCATTATCTTCTAAGCTGCTACTGCAGTCGCATCGATTGTCCTTTTCATCGATGTCTATTGCCACATGGTTTTTGGTAGTATTGGTAACTGCAGCCATAGATACACCAACGAGTACTGCTCCACCTGTACAAGAAAACAAATCTTTACATGTAATTGCACAATTTCCTGCGGGAGATGGTCAACGATATGGATTTTATCCTCTAGATCCGAATACAACGAGAGAAGGTGCCCTTCGATTTAATCACCTTACTATAGACCCTGTTACAGGAAGACTGTATGCAGGTGCCATTAACAGATTACTACAGTTAGATTCTAATTTGAGACTGGAAGAATATGTTTCTACAGGTAACTTTTATATTATTCTTAGTCTTACTTTTTTCATAAAAATTGCCAGAAACTAATTAACGTGTATGTTCATTTTGTTCAGGACCAAGAATGGATAATCCTCAGTGTCATGCAACAGGCTGCCCTTCTAGGGACATAACAACATCTTTAATGAACAATGTGAACAAATTACTAATCGCCGACATTGAATCACAAACATTGATCGCTTGTGGTTCTCTCCTCCAAGGTGCTTGCGAAAAGTACAAAATGTCTAACATATCCATTAAGCCAGAGTTCATTCCCCATAGTGTAGCAGCTAATGACGAAACTTCCTCTACATATGCTTTTATTGGACCTGAAAGATACAATGCATGGGGTCAAACAAATATTCTTTATGTTGGCACTACATTTACTAATAGAGGAGACTATCGGCACGACGTGCCTGCCATTTCTAGCAGAAACTTGCACAATTTAGAGTTTGCTGAATATACATTTAACAAGCAGTCAATAGTATACATTGATGTTAAATATCGAGATCACTTTCTGGTCAAATATGTATATGGTTTCAATGCAAGCGATTACGCGTACTTTGTGTTGGTGCAAAAGAAGTCTTTTCTTCCCGAAGAAGAGGAACGAGGTTACATCTCCAGATTAGCTCGAAGTTGTATAAGTGATCCAAATTATGATAGTTACACGGAGGTGACATTGGAGTGCACTGTTGATCTCGGAGACGGGAAACAACATTATTATAATTTAGTACAAGATGCTAAGGTTGCACCAGCTGGGAGTGACATAGCTATGCAACTGGGAATTTCCGTCGGAGACCCTATCTTTGTGTCTGTATTTTCACCAAGCAGAAATATAAATAACGAACCATTATCTCGTTCAGCCATTTGCGTGTACAGTTTGCAAGATATTGAAATGAAATTTAATGAAAATATCCACATGTGTTTTAATGGTAGCATCAAATATAGAAATATGGGTTATATCAGTGGTCCTATACAGGATGGGAAGTGTCCCACAGCAGGAGTAAGTAAAAACAGAATATAATAATATTTCTCGTCTGTAGTATAATTGTGTCACGTTCTTTTGTTAACTTTTTATTCTTTTTGAATCCAGACAACAGGTAACATTTTAAACTTTTGCGAAGTGGGCTTGAAAATCTCTGGATCATCGCCAATCGTAGGACAAGCGATTTTGCATTTTCCCGACGAATTCATTACCTCTATTACAATAGCCAATACCGAAAGTCACACTGTAGCATTTCTGGGAACAAACGAAGGAGTTCTTAAAAAAGTTTTGCTCTCTGGAACTGAAGCATTTGTCTATGAAAGCATCGTGATCGATAAGGGGAATACAATAATGCCAGACAGTTTGATTTCACCTGACGGAGAACACATTTACATTTTATCAAGTTCTAAAATTTCAAAAGTTCAAGTAGAACATTGTAGTAGCTATACTAACTGTAGTAGCTGTCTCGACGCGAAGGATCCTTATTGTGGCTGGTGTTCTCTGGAGAAAAGGTATTTTTTTCTCAGAAGTTACTTATTACTTTATTTCTTATAACATAATTTCATTTATATCTTTCAGATGCACGGTCCGAGGGAATTGCCAAAAGGCGAGTCACAGTAGTCCAAGATGGCTTTCTCTAGGCACTGGCCAACAGTGCATTGATTTCGAACAAGTCCTCCCAGACCGCATGCCTATCAATCAAATGACCACAGTTCATTTGACTATCAGAACTCTGCCCGAGTTACCAGCAGGTGCTAACTATAAGTGCGTGTTTGGTAACGCGGAGCCCATCGACGCATTGATGACCGTTTTTGGATTATCGTGTCCCACACCGCCCGTTATGGAGAGACCTAATATATCTGAAGGGGCCGACCATGTCTTGGTACCGCTCTCTGTGCGTTCCAGTGAGACAAACAAAGATTTTGTTTCACGGAATTTTGCATTCTTTGATTGCTCTAGACACACGGTGTGCACTGAGTGCGTGAAATCTCAGTGGCCTTGCAGTTGGTGTGTATACGACAATAAATGTACACACAATACAAGCTGCCAGGGTATTATATCAGGGGAGAATGTAAGTATCGCATATTCTATATAATATAATGTATGCTTAACTAACTTGTACGTTTACAGAATCAGGCCCATTTAGCTGCACACGGGGTACAGTATTGCCCAAGATTCGTTCAACGCAAGGAACCATTGATGTTACCGAACAGCGTTCCCAAAGAGATAGTACTCGAAGTAGAGAATCTGCCTCATCCTCAAGTTGGTCACAGCGGTTTCCAATGTATCGTTTCCATCGAAGGTGCCAATCTGAAAGTACAAGCCCGTGTCGACAGCAGTCGCTTCATAGTTTGCGATAAAACAGTCTACTCCTATGAGGCGGTTACTGGTGAATACGAGGCGGAGGTGACGGTCGTTTGGAACATAAATCATCATGTCGACAAGACTACCATTAAGCTCTATAAGTGTGAAGTGTTGGGTTCGCATCGCGAGCACGCAGACTGTTCCCTTTGTGTGACCAGGGACGTTCGTTTCGAATGTACTTGGTGCGGCAACAGTTGCGTGTACAGACATTCGTGTTTACATTCGCCGTTCACCGAATGTCCGAAACCAAGGATAGACATGATAAAGCCCCTCAGTGGACCGATCGAGGGTGGGACCTTGGTAACCATCGAAGGTAGTAACTTGGGATTAAAAGAGAGCGACGTGGAGGGAAAGATCCATATTGGTAACACGTCCTGCGCTCTGGTTGACTACGAAGTTTCCGTTCGCATAGTTTGCCGCACTGGTCGGCACGAGGCTACCGATACAGCGTCTGTAGTGGTCGGCAACGACGCCGGTTACACGGACAGCGGGGTGCTATTTAATTACAAGGACATACACTTGTCTGGTGTCTATCCGTCGGTTGGTCCGCAAAGTGGTGGCACGCAGCTCGCCATCACTGGCATGTATTTAAATATCGGCAGTACCATCTCAGCCTACTTGGACGAGCTACCGTGCCACGTGAACGCTACACAGGCAAGCAGTACGAGACTGACTTGTGTCACCAGCAAATCCGACCGAGTGAGAAGAGTGGAAAGACTGACGTTAAGCATAGACGGTGCGAACCGGACGTTAGTCGGCAACCCGTACAACTATACTCACGACCCTACGATCATGGAAATCAAACCGTTGACCAGCTTCGCTTCGGGCGGTCGTATGATCACTGTACACGGCACCAATCTGGACACCATACAGAAACCTGAAATGGAAGTTTACTTCGACAATGAACCGCTGCCAGTAAATAGAACAGTTTGCACTGTACTGAATCCTACTCAAATGGAGTGTCCTAGTCCTAGCGTTGCCAAGCGATTTATGTCTTTGAGACGCATGAGGCGAGCGGCCGTTAACGGTCAGAGTTCACCGGTGCAGTCGTTGAAACTGAAAGAATCTCAGTTGTCTCTGAGAATAGCATTCATCATGGACAACGTGGAGAGCGTGAGGGATTTGGAGAAGCATTTTCAAAATCTTAGGAACCGCTTGTTATACGTCGAGGATCCCAAGTTCCTCGCGTTTCCGCGGAACATTAAATTATACAAGGGCGACACGCTGGTCATCGAGGGGGAGAACTTGATTTTTGCCAGCGACGAGTCCGACGTGAACGTCACGGTGGGAGCGATGCCGTGTAACGTGACTTCGCTCGCTTCCACTCAGTTAGTCTGCATTCCACCCGACCAACAACCCGCGGACACGGACGAACTTGGGATTAAAACTGAGAACGGTTTGCCGCTGGTTGTGGTAAGAGTAGGGAGAAGTTTGCGCTTCCCTATCGGTCATCTGCGATACGAAGTAATTAAATCTTACCCAATTCCTCCGGAAGCAATCGCTGGTATCGCAGCCGGCACGTTCAGTCTTGTGTTTCTATTCGTTTTGGTGTTGATCATCTATAGAAGGAAAAGCACACAGGCAGAGAGAGAGTACAAGAGGATACAAATACAAATGGACACGCTCGAGAGCAACGTTAGGATGGAATGCAAACAAGCGTTCGCCGAGTTGCAAACAGACATGACCGATTTAACAGCCGATTTGGAATCTTCCGGTATCCCTACCTTGGATCACAAGAACTACATTATGAAAGTATTTTTTCCTGGCGTCACGCATCATCCGATATTGAATGATCCCAGATCTCGTAGCAACGTTTCTCGAACAAATTACGACGCGGCCATGATCCAGTTCGAACAACTGATTAACAATAAGTACTTTGTATTGACATTCATCGAAACTCTAGAGGCTCAAAAAGACTTTAACATTAGAGATAAAGTGAACGTTGCATCCTTACTTATGGTAGTTCTGATGGGCAAAATGGAGTACGCGACCGACATACTTATGAACCTTCTGCTGAGACTGATCGAAAAAGCCGTGAACACTAAACACCCACAGTTGATGTTGAGGAGGACGGAATCTGTGGTGGAGAAGATGCTCACGAACTGGATGGCGCTTTGTATGTACAATTACTTGAAAGACTATGCAGGTTCCTCGCTATTTTTACTTTTCAAGGCAATAAAACACCAGATAGAGAAAGGTCCTGTGGATGTGATAACCCACGACGCCAGATATTCTCTGTCCGAGGAGAGACTTCTTCGGGAGCAGATCGAGCATAGCATTGTCACCTTGCACGTCGTCCAGGATGATCTTGACGAGAAAATACAGTGCAAGGTTCTAGATTGTGATACTATAAACCAAGTGAAATCTAAGATCCTAGACGCTCTCTATAAGAATACTCCTTTCTCGCTAAGGCCGTCCGTTCACGATGTAGATTTGGAATGGAGACATGGCAGGGGTGGCCACTTGACCCTTCAGGACGAAGATCTGACGACGAAGTGCAGCGGAGAGTGGAAAAAGATAAACACTTTGGCACACTACGGTGTGAAAGAGTCGGCAGTGATGTCATTGATACCCAGGCAGAACGACGGGTTCTCTGTGGCGTGCAAACCACCATGTCACAATTGCAAGCCTTCTCATTACCATCATCAGCAGCAACCGATTCATCATCATTCGCACCACCACCATCTGCATCGTCACGCGAATCATTGTTCGTCCACGCATCTTCCATCCACACCTAATCACAATTTAATCAGTCCTATAATGTACAATCATCCTGTTAGCGGTATGTATTTCGAATCTCAGCACTCGCCGCCCATTATAACTGCGAACGGCGACGTTGAGAGCGGTCACGGTGGTAATCAACGACTATATCATTTAGTAAGGCCTATAGAAGACAGCCAGTACCCGCCGGGAATGGGTTTCACCGGAAGCAAACACCACCATCCGGAACGAACACACAAAGCCATACCGGAGATATTTTTAACGAGACTATTGTCGACGAAAGGCACCGTGCAGAAATTCGTCGACGATTTCCTGAACACGATACTGTCCGCGAACGAGGCGTTGCCCAGTGCTGTAAAATGGTTGTTCGATCTCCTCGACGAGGCCGCGAAGCAACACGGTATCGTGGACCCAGAAGTGCCCCACGCATGGAAATCGAACAGTTTACCGCTTAGATTTTGGGTGAATTTTATTAAAAATCCAGACTTCATGTTCGATATAAATAAATCGACGACAGTCGACTCGAGTCTTTCCGTCATAGCGCAAACATTCATGGACTCGTGTTCGATGACGGAGCACAGGCTAGGAAAGGATTCGCCCTCTAACAAGTTACTTTTTGCGAAAGACATACCGCACTATCGGGAAAAAGTTGGTCGGTTTTATACAGATGTACAGAGACTACCGCAAATTACTGATCAAGAAATGTCTAGTGCCATGCAACAGTTAAGTGCGTCGCATGCAAACGAGTTCGATGTGATCGCGGCGCTAAAGGAACTTTACATCTATGTCAGCAAGTATTATGAACAAGTAAGTGTCGCACACTCGCTAAGAATCATTCTATGATATTCAGAATTTAATTATCAAACACATAGAAACTGTATGAATTATAATTTACTTTTTTCGTTCAAGCAATGCTCAAGTATTCTGTTGCTAATTCCAAAAATGTCGACACGTTGAGACTTA